AGTAAACCATTCTCTAAACCACATAAAATAACAAAAATTATTAATGGTTTTATGTTTTCTATAAGGTTTATCTGGAAATTTATAAAGCACAGTGTGTAAATGGATAATATTAACAATTACATTATCTTAATTTGGATTTCATGTTCTTTTATAAGATGATGTTGCACATCACTCCTAAGTCAAATAACTGCCATCTTCATGACTTCGGCTGTGTCCATTTACTAAAAATCATGACAACTGGGCCTGTTGACAGTTATGTTCCTTCTTTAAAGGACAAGCAGGGTCATTGGACCCTCACCTGAGTATTCAGCCATTCTTCTCAGTCACCTGTACATAATTATGCCCTAATTACAAATGATCTTCTACAAGGACTATAGTATATAATCTTGGGAAGGCAAAGGCTGCAAAGATAGGGTTTGACCCATGAGGTTATAAAAAAAAAGTCAACATTCATGCCGGGTAAGGGCTTTCCAGTGCAAATACTCTCAGGTCACTCATACACCTCAACAACCCCCTCAGTCATCTCTGTAAGTAAGCTCAGTGAACTCATTAGGTCCCCAGGAAAACTTTAATGTAACCAAACATTGGTTTGACACTTAAACCTTAGACACGGGTAAACCTTGCTTAGTATCCCCAGGCTAAGGTCATAGTTTAGACAACTAGTTTAAGGAGGTCTAGTAAAAGTTTATCTAAAAATGGGTTTTGCCCAAGCTTTATCTATATAATACATGATAATTAAAAGTACCAGATTGGTGTAACTAACCTTCTTGGGTGTTTAATAGCCAGACTATACTAATCTGGTCAGAGGGACTTAAAGGGACAGTTTTTGCTTCTTGCCCTCCTAGGTCAACTAAGTTCCAGGGGACTATGAAGCATATCTCAAAACGTCCTGTAACTGTGATGAGTCACCTGTCCTCTTGTTCAGGGAGGCCATGGAGACCTCACCAGATGGACTTGAAACAGCATCCAGTCTGCTCAGAGGGTCAACACAGAGGAAACATTTCCTCCATGCTTCCAAGTGAAGCCAGCTACAGTCAAGTAGGACCTTTGACTTATCTTCACATAGGTGGAACTGGTAAAAGAAAGGAGCCAGGGGCTCCTCCCAAGCCCATGTGACCCCTGAGAAACAAATCTTCAAATGACCTTAAGAGTAAAAATGAATTGGTTTATTTGGGCCAACTGTATGGTCTTAAACACCCAAAAGGAAAGTATAACCAAAGATTAAAGTGATCAGTATTTCTTTAAGAGTTCAAAGGATTGAACTTCCCAGACATTAGGCTTAAGTCTCTAACTGCCCCCACTCCTCTACCCACAGTGTTACAATTGGGGCAATACTGGTCTAGCCCCAGGGCTACTTTTCCTTTGTTGCTCCAAGATATATACCTGTATCTCCCCACCAGTCAAGGCTACCTACACTCCAGGCATTCTCATGTCTAGATTAACCCTATAGGCCTCAGGAGAGGTGCATGATTCTCTCTCCACAGAAACAGAAAAGAGCAGAGCAAAAAGGCCAGCTACTCTAGCAGTGCTGGTGGGAATCAACCTGGTATCATCTGTAGACACCACAGGATTCACAGCAGGGAGCCTGGGACATACCTTGGTCTCTGCCCAACACCTCTCTGAGGAGATCCAGGACCTCAAGCATGAACTTACTACAGCAGTGGAAGCAACAGCCCAGTCAATCCAGATCTTACAACGGCAACTGTCCTCCCCAGTCGAAGTTGCCCTCCAGAACAGGCGAGCCCTGGATCTATTAACTTCAGAAAAGGGAGGTACCTGCTTTTTCTTGGGCAAGGAATGCTGTTACTATGTCAACCAATCATATAAGGTTGAACACAACATAAAATGCCTCCAACAGGAGGCCAAGTATTTCTTACTTAAAACTTCCCAGTACCAGCAGTCACCCCAAGTGGGATATCTTTTCAGGACTGACTCCCTGGCTTCTGCCCTTACTTGGGCCCCTGCGCTCTATTAGTCTGGTGCTAACCATTGCTCCTGTCTCTTCAGATATTTTCAGGGCAGGATACAACAACTAACTCGTACCACCTTTAACCAACTGTTATTTTCCTTTCCCCCACATGTGTATAAATGCCTGTGGACCACTGAGGACTTTGTCCAGATGCACAAGCTGGAGACCCCCACTGCCTGACTGGACCCTGACTCCAGCCTTCCTTTCCCCACATCGACCTTGACCAGCAGGAAGTAACCATGATGAGAAAACGTGGCCCCCTATCCTATAACACAAAAGGCTGGAATGTTAGCATCTAGGTCTGGAGAAGACCCTCTCCCAGTGTAGAAGAGCCTCACAAAAAAGGCCATGAGGGTCCCCTGGCAAAACAGGAACTGGCCAGACAGCTACATTTAGAGCTGTCTCAACACAAAGCTGTTCCCCAGATAATTTTGGAAGATAAACAGGTCCCTGAGCCCAGACCCACTGATGTAAGAGCTGTCTCAGTTCAAGCTACTTCCCTTGAAACTGTAAAGATTATTTTTGCCACCTTCCACATTCCCCAACCCCCTATAAGAACTTCCTCAGCAGTCAGAAGGCTGCTGGCTGCCTTTCTCTCCCCAGCTGAGCTGCCAGCCAATGAGCCTAAGAAATCAACTTTCCTTTACTGGAGTCCTGTTTCCTGTGGCTGTTCCCTGCCCAGCTTTTATCTAACAAGGACAAAGGCAGTGCTAGTATCTTCAATTTACAGGAATGGAAACTGAAGCAAAAAAGATCACAGCAGGGTTGGAGAGATGGCTCAGCAGTTAAGAGCAGTCACTGCTCTTACAGAGGATCGGGGTTCAATTCCCAGCACCGACATGGTGGTTATCCATCTGTAGCTCCAGTTCCAGGGGATCTGATGCCTTTTTCTGGCCTCCATGGGCATTTCATGACACGGGTGCACTTACACACATGCAGGCAACAGATTCATATGCGTAAAATAAAAATAATAAAATATTTTTTAAAAGACTTATTAAAAAAAAGATCACAGCAGATGCAGCAAAGCCTCTGCCCAGTCAGGATGGCCCAGGCTCTGAGCAAGGGGCCTCTGAGCCTCCAGTCTGGAACAGATGGACCATTCCAGCACTTCCTGTCTGCAGCACTTCCTGTCCAACCCCTCTGGCCCCACCTCGCTTCTCCTCTGCCTGCACACTTGCCTGCTCTTTCCCCTCACTCTTTTTCCCCAGGCCCGCTTACTTTCCAGCATGGGCCTACAGCAGCTGAAAACATACAGGCTTCTACTCAGCGAACTACCTCTGTAAAGCAGTCACCTGAACCTAAAATTCTGATTTTTTCGAGGCAAGCACCTCACTGATGCCTCCTAGTAGAACTTCAAGCTATTTAAGCTTTTAATTTTCTGACAAGAATTTTTACCTTTTAATTGATTGACTTATTTTATTTGTATTTTATGCATAAGCGTTCTGACTGCATGTAAATGCACCATGTGCATGCAATGACTACAGAAGCCGGAAGATGGTGTCGAATCCCCTGGAACTGGAATTAAGGGTGGCTGTTAGCTGCCACGTGGGTACCAGGAGCTAAATCTGGGTCCTCTGAAGAGTAGCCAGTGGTCTTAACCACTGAGCCAACTCTCCAGTCCCACGAATTTTACTTCCATTTTTTTCATTTTTGTTTCCTACTTAGCAGCATCACGGTAAGTGAATCAAGGGAAGATGTCCTATCTCACTACTTTGCAATAACAATAAAAACAAGAAAATAAATCTGGGGCCACAATAAAGGACCCATTGGCACAATAGTTCTCAAGCTCTATCATGCACCCAAATTACATAATAGACTTCAAGGCCCATCCCTCAAGTTCCTCATTTAGCAGGGTACTCTAGATGGACCCCAGCACCTGGACTCTGACAAGACCCCAGGTGGTGCAGACCCTGTTGTCTGAAGACCATGCTTTGGGGAGCCAATGAACTGGCCCACTGGTGTGAGGTTGTGCACCTCATTTAATTCCCATTCAAAGCAGATTTACCTTGGGAAGCTCCAGATGGTATACATTTGTAAATGAACTGAGGTCCACAGCTCCATCAAAAGTAGTAAAATTTGGTTCCTCCTGACAGAGAAACAAAAATGTCTAAGTAGGTAACTGAGTGTTAGGTATTTTTGCTTACTTAAACATCAGGGCCACTTAATCAAAATTATTTCATTTGTCATATTCGTTAATACTATTTTTAATATATCATGGAAATTATGAATGTTATAGTCTCAAAACGCTTGATTATGGTGAGGGAGGAGGGACATATGGGGGTGTGCACATGGGGGAGGGTGTTTAAATATGATTAAGATCTATTATATGAAATGCACAAAAACTCAGTAAAGATATTTTAAAAAAATAAAATGAACTGCTTGGGAGGTGTGAGGGGACAGCAATTGTTTTCGCAGCACTCAAGTAGCTTGGCAGTTTTCCTGGGTTTACTCTATGATGAAACCCAACAGCAGGCTCCTATCTAACACGGGGCTGCTGACGCTCAGGCACTAGCAAGGCAGCCGTAAGTTATTCTTTTTGTGTGAGCTATGAAGAGTATTTAGAAATCATTAAATGCTTTCCCAGAAAAATTATTATTAAAACACACCATTTAAGGGGCATGTTTAGTATAATATGAAAATAAGTTTGTCTTCTATAATCTTCCCATCCTAGGTAACATGACTCAGTTCAACAGGAGGAACAACTTGAATGAGTCTACGATTTTTTTAATCTGTCATGTATATATATATATATATCTCTTTCATATATAAGCATACACACACACATATGTATGTATGTATGACTGTGCA